AGCTGCTCATTACACACACTTGTTCCAGGTCAACACAGAATGCATTGAAGTCAGGATTTTCATTTTCAGACAGCACCAGCTCTGATAGTACCCACATTTCTCTTTGAAACTGGTTAAGTCAAGCTGTAGGACTGCTTAATCACTAAAATGGCCATACATGGTTCATTTTTTGTTCCGAGCAGATTTTCCTATGCACACATGCGAGGGGGATTGCAAAGTCATCCCTGCTGTGTCATATTCTAACAGCAGGCCTCCCATCAGAATACAATGATCAGCGCATGCAGCCAACGGGCTGCAGCACTTAACAAATGCTGGTTTTCAAGCAGGGCTGTTCAGACACTCATCTTCTGTTGACCAGAGGGGGCAACACATGGGTCAATTTCAATCCTCATATGGCCAGCTTTAGAGACGGACATCAGATAGCGAAACATGCAGAAATACAATTTGTTCAATAACAAAGTCACCACAACTTTATTGTTGAAAGGAGTTTGCTGTGGACATTGACTGTAAAATTGTGACAATAACTGGAAGTGTTACAAGATGAACCAGCTGCTTTTAGTCAGGGATTTTTCTCCAAGGAGACAAAAATGTAACCATTGTAACTTGACATTTCACATTTGGAGTCCAGTTCTACTGTGTAGTGCTAGGCTGTAGATCAATCAGCTTTGTGCAAGACAGTCCACTGATGAACAGATACTCAGTCCTTTCTTGATTGTGCAGGTTAATTCCACATCCAAACATCTGATTGAAGTTTTAGCTTGCAATGCTTTTGACACATTTCTTGGATGGCATTGCCAGGTTACATCTGGACAGTAAATCCGGTTTGACTTTTCAGAACGCTTGTATTCACAGGAATAGGATTTTACAACCATAAATAGTACAAATTTACATTCATGAGGAATGTTTTTTTTCTTAAAAAAAAAAAAAAAAAAAACTAAAAAACCCTCCCCAACACTGAAAAAGCCTTTCCCCCCACTAGTTGGTTGTGAGATGGCATTTAGAATTCGTCTTTTATATGTGTGGATCCCTGAAAGAAAAATAAAACAAAAAAAAAAAAATTAAAAATTACATTTGTGATAAAAAAAAAAAAAAATTAAATATAGGCCAAATAGATAGAAAGGCCTGATAACCCATACAGAAGAAAAAAAAATGAATAATAATATTCACCTTAGTGACATGTCACTAAAAAAGGCAAAAAACATTTTCATTTTGGGACAGAGCAAGGGCAGTTTTTCTTTACCATCTGTATTCCCATTATGGATATTTCCCTTCACTCCCTGTCCCATAGCAAATACAAGTGAGGAAATCCCTCCTTAGTGAGGTAATCCTTGGGTGTCAACAGATTCAGTGTCCCCATTGGAAAAATTTCCCCTCTTTTGGTCAACCAAAATTTTAGGACCTTTTACTTTGAATGAAAACTCTAAACAGGACAAAAAGACCGTGAATCTCCCTAATGGTGGCAGACAGCTATAAAAACCTTACAGGTGTTCTAATCCATCTTCACTTTTTTTTAGCTATTGCCTTGTGTCACTTTAAACACACCGGAAACAGAAACATAGCTGTTTGAGTGCCAGAAATAGAGTGCTCCTACCTTCCTAATTGACATTACACCTATGAATTCCTAAGCATGTGTTGCCAGCCCTTCCTCTATTAACCCCTTTCAATGGTATATTTAGCAGACCAAAATAGCAAATATAGGGAATTGTTAGAGTTTACATACACTTTAAAAAAAGGTGTGTGTAAAGCCATTTTTAAAACCGCTTTAGATGGGAGTAGGGGAGGGTTAAATGCCCCCATCTGTTATGTTTTGCTGCCTTTCCCACAGGGGAGATTTTCCTTTCATTCCTGCCCCAAAGTATTTCCACGAACTCTTACTTTGATAACATCCGCTTAACGGTGGTCACCAGGACAAACCGAACAGCAAGTTTACACATCAGGGACACAGGCAGCAATAAAAACCAAGGTCTAACCCTTCTCTACTGTAACCCACCACTAAAAGATCATGGTTATAAAAAAGGCACATCACAACAGAAACTACTACTAAAACAATTTGATGCACAGAAAAATCATCAAAATACTACTAATATCTATACAAATTCCAAAAACCATGAAATAAAAAAAAAAAAAAAAAAATTATATAAAAAAAAAAAAAAAAAAAAAAAAAAATATATATATATATATATATACTATATACACTGAGCTTGAAGGGGAGCATTCATAAACAATAAATAAATAAAACACGCACTTCCTGAAAACGATCTATGGTTGAAATGCATCAAGGTTTGATGACAACATCTGCCCTGTGGAATGCACACCGCTCGGAGAATTAACCACCATAGCGGCAGCCACTTTCATACTGCACAGCAATAAGGCCGAGTACACCAGGTTATGGGCACTTCTTTTGTGAGTGTAATCTTGCAGCAATTTCCCCATAATAAAAGTAAAAGTGTTTTTTCACTATGGGATGTCCCCTTTTGTTTCTTTATACATGGTGACTTCTCTACTCTACATGTGGAGGAGAGGAGAAAGTAGGCATCAGATACAGCTCACTGAGGAAAAAGTGGTTATCAATAGCAACACTGTTTCACTGGGATAGTCCCAAAAGCACAAATGACAATTCTAGAGATAGGTGGTCATTGGATGATGGCGAGTGTCAGTCCATGTGGGGAACTATTCTGAGCACAGTGGAGCACTTGTGTTGTGAAAAGAGTTCACAATCAAGAAATTGGACAGTTGAATATCAGCACCTTGCACTATTTTCACTGATTGGGACTGAGTATTTTTTTGGTTATATTTTATATATTATGTTGATTTTTACACTTGTTGTCCATATGGTTATGCATTTAGTTTGTGTATATAAGTTCACAATTTACGACTGCTGCTTTTTTCACATGAAGTAGAGTACCGACTCATTCTGAAATAGTTTTGACCGAAAAACCCAGGTTTTCTACATAAACTGGTGTAGACCAGTGTATATTTTGGAGAGGCAGTTTACTGTGGGTATTTGAAAAATTTAGCTTGCAGTGGGGCTGCACACTGCTCATTTAGAGGGGAGAAGCACTAACTTACTTGATCCTCTGCTACCCTAGCAGATGGTGCTCCTCCACACTCCAGCAGTGGACTGTCTCTCTGCTTCATCATGCCCAATGCAGGGTCTAGGGACCCTGAAATTGTCTGGATGATGCGAAGACCCAAGACAGCTGGAAGCGTGGGGAGAAAGCGCTTCAGGGGATTGGAGAATTGAGCAAGTAAGTCTACTTTAACAAGTTCCGTACCTATATGAGCAAATAACCCTTACAGTGCTGGTGCAGCCCCACTGCAAGGGACCATTTTTGAGTTTCCTGGAGTTGGCCTTTTAAGTGGGTTTGTTCTGAAGTCTTTTCATAGTGTATGTTCAAGTTATTTGTAATTGTATAAATAAAACATTTGATAATTGCTGTGCAGCACAATTTGAAGAACTGGTATGGGTCATGTAACAGGCTGATAAGTAAAGATGCTTTTTTTTTTAGGATAAGGGAATCACTAGTGTGTGGGGGGGAGGGGGGGGGGGGAACTAATTGTCCAGGGACTAGATCTGTGCCCCAATGTGTGATATCTATATAAATAGTAAATTTGAACCAAAACCGTATTTAAATCTGAGGTTTTTTTTAAAAAGGCTTTATGGTGACTTAACTAATTTTAACATTGCGCAGTTTATCTCCTCCTCCCCCTCCCTGTCTCCAGCACCACACCTGGGTACTAGTAACGAGGGGAGACACCTTGCAGTGTAATGAACACCGATTGGGTGCTTGTCAGGAAAGCGGAGCGTCTGGCTTATCCCTTATCCCCTTCGCTGCCAGAGTTGTTTTTGCGTGTTTTGCACACGTTTAAAAATAAATAAAATAATAATTTTAGGCTTGAAGATTACACAAAATCCCCAAACATTATATATATATTTTCTGAAAGCAGATACCCTAGAGCAGGGGTAGCTAACCTGTGGCTCTCCAGCTGTTGTGGAACTACATTTCCCATGAGGCATTGCAAAGAAAGGAAGTTACTGACTTGCAGAGGCATGATGGAACTTGTAGTCCTGCAGCAGCTGGAGAGCCGCAGGTTGGCCACCCCTGCCCTAGAGAATAGCGGTATTTCCCAATTTTTTTTTTTTTTGCATGATAATACCGCAAAATTTCAGAAAAAAAAAAAAAAAAAAAAAAAAAAAACAAAAAAGTTAATTTTAGGGCACAAAAAAATTAAATAAAATTTACCCTATTTGTTAGTAAAAATGGCAAAGAACTTCAGTACCCCATATTTTCTATAGGCAACACTTTAAGCCCCTTATAGGTAATCAATATAGTGTTACGGAGGTGGTCTGGTGCTAGAATTATTGCTCTCATCTTGGCATGTGCAGTGATATATAAACGTGTTTCGCAATCAACGTTTTCATGCGCAAGTGCCCCAGTCTTTGCCTTTACATTTGTACGTGGGTACAAGTGGGGGGGTGGAGGGGGCAATTTATTATTTTATATTAAGTTATGTGCTTGAGTAATTTTGAAGTTTTACAATTAAAAAAATGTATTTACTTAATTTTTTTTTTGTTTTCATCACATAGGGGACAAAGTCCCCTATGTGATTATTTTTGGTGACAATTTCTCTTTGAGACATCCAAGGTCTAGAACACCCTGGATGCCTACCCTGAATGTAATGCAGAGCACATCACACTGCATTACATGGTTTTCCGGCCTCAATGGCTGGGAAATCTTTAACCGGGGACCCGGAAGTGACATAACATCACTTCCGAGTCAGGACAAGAAGGGGAGGGGAGCGGTTGTGTCAGTCTCCTCCCTCCCCTCTAGCCAACGGCAGTGAGCCGGTCCCACAGATGGGCAAGTGGATCCTGGGAGACAGTGGGCGGTTCATGCGGGGGGAGTGGAGGCTGGCACTGTGTGGCAGCAATCGCCAGCAGCACTGCTGCCCTAATGCTTGACAGGTGAGCCCTGCTACAGGCAAGGATAAAAAAAACCCTACCTGCCCGGAACTACATGTCTCGGGTGATAGAAATTGAACATTCCTGTGTGACATTTGTTACAACCTACAAAGACACCAACCTGTTTGCCTGTCTGTTCTGCTGTCTCATCTTTCTCTTCTGCATCAACCTCTTCAACATCATCATCTGAATCATCCAGCTCTGCTTCATCGGCTGCTGGCTCCTCTTCCTCCTCTGGCTCATCGTCAACCTGCAACAAATTTATTAAGTACAACTAATGCACCAATTTGAACAAAGGTCATTTTATAAAACTCTGCCCTGTCAAGTTAAACATCAACCATAGGGATATACAATATATTTGCCAACATAGTGTTTCCATTTAGCAATCTACATACAATATCCAAAATATAGTTGCAAACTTAGCAGTACACATGTTGTAAATATAGAAAGGATCCCCCTGCGCTCCACAGAACCTTATAACCAAAAGTTAGCTGCTATCACCTATTCTTTATACCTTAAGATATGTGCAAACAAATTATATATAATGTGATGAAGCGCTCAACTTATATAAAGTGTGAAATACCTCCTTCCAAAAATATTATAAAATAATTAAATACACAGATACTTAATTTTCTTCAATCTATACAAGATAACTTAGTGCAAAATCCCCACACACAAATTATAGGCCCCCTAGTGGTAAATTGTGATAGTCAACTAATAACACTTTAACTGTGCAAAGTGATAAATATATCCAATTATATAAGGAAACAATTCAAAATCAATTCAAAAAAACTTGTGATGCCACACTGTGCAAAATAATAAAAAAAAGTGTTCAATACACAGTGGTTATAACTTCACTCCATGCTGCAATTGTGCTCTTCGTGATACTCTGTGACTCCCCTGGATTTAGCCAAAATGCCCCCTCACCTTCCACATTCGACCCTTGCGGGTCACAAAGCTTTAAATATATAGTATCTCTGCCAGGTTTTTCATACTCCACTGACTCCACCGACTCAATTATGATCCTCCTCCAAGCAATGAATTCCTCTCAGATCACTTCCCTCACAATATGGACTCAAACACAGGGCGTATATGCAAGATAAAGACAGACCTCCATAGTGCAACACTGTTTTAATGCACTTAAAGATAGAAAACAAATAGCACTCACATATCCTCCAACAGAGACAAGCAGTTTCCCATGTGCTATGGGTATACTCAGGTGTACAAAGATGGCGTCCGAACCCGGAACCGGAAGTACGTCACCCCTATAACCGGAAATGCGTCGACGCGTTGCGCCACGATCACGTGACTTCTTCAGGATGCCGCCCACGATCATGTGGCTTCTTCAGGATGCCGCCTCCTGAAGAAGCCACGTGATCGTGGCGCAACGCGTCGCCGCATTTCCGGTTATAGGGGCGACGTACTTCCGGTTCCGGGTTCGGACGCCATCTTTGTACACCTGAGTATACCCATAGCACATGGGAAACTGCTTGTCTCTGTTGGAGGATATGTGAGTGCTATTTGTTTTCTATCTTTAAGTGCATTAAAACAGTGTTGCACTATGGAGGTCTGTCTTTATCTTGCATATACGCCCTGTGTTTGAGTCCATATTGTGAGGGAAGTGATCTGAGAGGAATTCATTGCTTGGAGGAGGATCATAATTGAGTCGGTGGAGTCAGTGGAGTATGAAAAACCTGGCAGAGATACTATATATTTAAAGCTTTGTGACCCGCAAGGGTCGAATGTGGAAGGTGAGGGGGCATTTTGGCTAAATCCAGGGGAGTCACAGAGTATCACGAAGAGCACAATTGCAGCATGGAGTGAAGTTATAACCACTGTGTATTGAACACTTTTATTATTTTGCACAGTGTGGCATCACAAGTTTTTTTGAATTGATTTTGAATTGTTTCCTTATATAATTGGATATATTTATCACTTTGCACAGTTAAAGTGTTATTAGTTGACTATCACAATTTACCACTAGGGGGCCTATAATTTGTGTGTGGGGATTTTGCACTAAATTATCTTGTATAGATTGAAGAAAATTAAGTATCTGTGTATTTAATTATTTTTATATTTTTGGAAGGAGGTATTTCACACTTTATATAAGTTGAGCGCTTCATCACATAGTACACATGTTGTGCTCATGCTAGGTGGAAGGGTGAGTAAAACGTAAAGATTAAGCTTTTACCTTGGCATCAAGGTCGATATTTAAACTTAGTCGCAGCATTCTTTCTATCCTTTCACTGTACGTCTTTGTATCTGGTAATTGATATCCTGACCGTAAAGTGGCAGTCTCTAAAAGTACAACTGCGAGGTCCGATACAGTCTGGTCATCTTCATTTTCCTGTTCACAAAAGAAAAAAAAAAAAAAAAATTACAACTTACATAATTCTAGCAGAGTAACCCCAAAACCTTCCTCTATTGCACCGGAGTAGTAGAATATGACCTCTGTAGTTAGTGCAATATTGTACCAAAAAGGTTTATTGCATTGTATTGAGGCTACTGAAAACTCATGCTTGAGTAAAAGGTTTTTAAAGAGTAAAAGGTTTTTAAAGATTGTGTCAAAACAGTTTAAGAATGAAAACTGAATACATACCTGTAGCAATAATAAATCAACAGATGACCTGTTGACCACCTCCAGGTTTCTGCATGCCAACAGCCTGGCCATACTTCCTTTTGTTTCACTACTGACCCACTGCTTTGATAATTAGCATTGTAAGGCTGCCCTCTACCAAGAGGTCTAGCTGATACCTGCATGCTCTGGTGGGTGGCCTCACTAATCTAGGAGCGTAATCAGGCTCTCTACCAAGAAACCCTATTGATATCTCCACACAATACCATACAAATATGTGGAAATTGGGGGTGGGCAGGTTTAAAAAAGGCACCCAGAGGCAGCTGTTTCACATTAAAGCGTTAATCTGATTTTGGCCATAAAAGTTTCCTTAATACGAGGATCAGGAAGATTTTATTTATTAAACTGCTCACCTGTACTCTCCGTAACATTTCCTTTATCAAAGGGTGTCTTGGGTTAATCTCAAGGGTCTTTTTCTGGCTGGAGTAGTAACTGAAATTAAATATAAACAAAATTGTAATAAAAAGCCACATGCAAAAAAGTCAAAAACAGAAGCTGAAAGATCTAGACAAATGAGAGACCGTGGCAAAAACCCTTTTAAAAAGTAAGCATTGTTATCCAGATGTAAAAAGGCATTTGTTTCACCAGGTTGGCCAGCTAATTTATAAAATACATCTTACCTTGTGGAAATGTCTTTTCCAGTCTGGTATGCTTGTGCCTTCATAATCCTTTCCATATTGCCAGACCACCCATACTGGCTAGCCACAAGTGCACATGGGGACTGTGTCAAACGCTGGGATAGGACAGCTTTTTCAATCTATGGAAAGGTTATAATAAGCAGTAAAGTCATATGGCAAGTAAAAAAAAAAAAATAAAATATATATGCATTCTCTCTCTAATACAGACAATCTCTCCATGTAGCAAAGGTAAGTAAATATACCTGGTCTTTCAGGGATTTATCCTTCAGCCAGGAAAGCAGTGGATCAAATTCCTTCTCCAGGGCCTCACGTACTTCCTTTGCCTTCTCACTTTCATCAAACTTCAGTCCTTCTTTGGCAATGTTCTGGAATCTCTTTCCATCAAACTCTGGCAGGGCCTGTATGCAGTACTCATCTACAGGTTCAATCAAGAAGACGACTTCATAGCCCTTCTTCAACAAACGTTCGACAAATGGGGAAGATTCCACCTTAGGGAGTAGAACCAAAGTATGAACTTTTGCATTCTGTGTTTATCCTGAACACCAAGAAAATGTAAAGGCTCACCTCTTTCCTGCTTGCACCAGCCATGAAATAGATTTTATCCTGCTTGTCCTTCATTCTTTCAACATACTGCTCCAAACTGGTGAGCTCTGTCTTGTGGTTGGAAGACTGGAATCGGAGAAGCTTGGCCAAACGGGTACGGTTCGAGTGGTCTTCAATCACACACCAGTTTGACATTTGTGCCAAACTCCTTCCAGAATTTGTCATTATATTTGTCTTCTGCAATTTTCTTAATCATGTCTAAAGTTTTACGTACCAGCTTCTTTCTTATAACCTAGTAAGAAAAAAAAAAAAAATCCTACTATTTCCAATCTATTTCACAAACATAACAATTTTCCCCTCTGCAGGACACTCATGAACGCATAGCTCTGCTTAAAAAGTACCGTTAATTTTCATTTCTACAAAGAAAAAAAAAAAAAAACCCCCCAAACCACACAAAAAACACACAACCCCTTAACTACAAATAAAAAACACATGCTTCAAGTCAGCCATAGGGATAAGAAGGCGGTCATACACGCATACTCAAAGAATCTGACCAAATATTTCTCAGGGCTTGAAAGATGCACACAAATGGCTCCATAGCCTAAAGGCAGCAAGAATGGCAATCATGTGACATGGCTACAGGTATCTTTAGAAGGTAGCAGAGAAATCTTTACATTCCATTTTAAAAATGGAATGGCCAATTTTTATCTAGTATTCATTCAGCATCTACCAAGGGAGGATTTGGTTTAGGATATTTATAGATTGGCAAATGTAGTGTGCCTTTACCTTGCAGTTGAAATCACTTTGCGATACATCAGGTCACTGCGAGTTCCTTTACAGGTGCTTATAACTTGCAGTCGACCTCCTGAGCTGTATCAAGCGGATTTTTCATTCCCATTTAAGTGTATGGTAAGAAAACCAATAACTCAAATAAAAGCCTCAGTACACAATCCCTTGCCAAGTCAACTGATTAAAAAAGGTATTTGGAAGTATGAGCAAATGACAAAAAACATACCTTTAACAATTTATGTTGCTGTAGGGTTTCTCTAGACACATTAAGAGGCAAGTCATCTGAATCAACCTAGAAAGTTGCAGAAATAAAGAGAAAAATGGTCACAGAACGCAAAGCTCCAAGGAAATTCCCAACCAAGCCAACAAAAAAAAAAAAAGAAGGAAGAAGAAGAACTTACCACTCCCTTTACAAAGTTCAAGTATTTGGGCATCATGTCATGGAAGTCATCTGTAATGAAAACTCTGCGGACAAATAGCTGTTAAGAAAGATGGCAATTAGAGTAAGATAGAAATGCAGTTGTTATTTTACATGTCAACAGTAATGCAACATACTTTTATATAATCACTCTTCTTGGAGCCATATTCATCAAACAGACCCCGAGGAGCTGTCGAAGGCACAAACAAGATGGATTTGAAGGTAACCTCTCCTTCAGCAGTAAAGTGGATGTGAGCCAGTGGATCATCACTTTCCTAAAAGATAGGATATTTCATTAATTAATACATGTGTACATTAAAAACACGTGTTCTAAGCCACCATGTGTCATCTTTCAAAAGATGGTAATATACAAACCATGTGATTAGTACACTGACCAAAGTGACATCTGGTTGGTCCCTTATTGGTTAAAAAGGAATAAAACCTATAACACTTAACTGGATTGTTAGCTAGTGTAAAATGAAAATGTGAAAGCCCTTGAACAGCATGAACGCTATAGTGACAAGAATATTTTTTTTATATTAAAAAGTAATATTTATTTAAAAATGGTCAAAAAAAAAAAAAAAAAAAAAAGTAGCTTAGCCAACATTTTCAGACTAAATGACCCAATAAATGTTATTATGAAATACAGAAGCAGAATGTCCAAAGTACAAGACAAAAATTACCTTTGAGAAAGACTTGTAAAAGGCTTTGTATTCATCCTCTTCTACCTCCTTAGATGGTCTCTGCCAGATGGGCTTGATGTCATTCATAAGTTCCCAGTCCCAGATAGTCTTCTCAACCTTTGTTGAGAAAGAAGAGCTTACATTTTTAAATTAAAAGAATTTTCACTAGAATGTTTTTGTATTTGGTTGTAAAATGCTACAGCTGAAAAACAGACTTATCAGGCAACACAGTCCAAGCATATACACAGTTTGTTTTAATGCCATCACACCTAATTTGTGGCAGCTTATGGTTCGTTAGACATATCCCTTATCCACATATTTACATTGCTTAGACTCACCTTCTTTGTCTTTGGTTTCTTCTCTTCATCCTCCTCCTCAACAGCAGCTTCCTCATCAGCATCCTCATCCTTCTCCTCTTTAGCTTCCTCTTCATCAATCGGCTCTTCTACAGTCTCAGTCTAAAAAGCAATACATGAGTAAACAGGTGGGTTTCCACAATACATACTAAACCTTGCCTAAAAGTAAAATCTGTCAGGAGATTGCGAAAAAAACAAAAACAAAAAAAACAATCTTCCTTCACTCCAGTTGCAACACAAGCCCTAAGGGCTGCACTGTGGTGAGGCACTTGAGATGCGACACACACACACAGATTTTTAGAGAGCCAGAGCAAAGGCAAGCAGAGGAAATAAAGTGGACTTGCCTTGTTTGCTTTAAACCGGAGTTCCACCCAAAAGGGGAAGTTCCGCTTTAACCACTTGAGCTCCTGAGGATTTACCCCCCCCTAATGACCAGGCCACTTTTTGCTACTCTCGGCGCTGCACTAATTCAACTGAAGCGCGGTCATGCAATACTGCACCTAAACAAAATTTATGTCCTTTTTTTCACACAGAGCTTTCTTTCGGTGGTATTTGATCACCTGTGCGCTTTTTATTTTTCACGCTATAAACAAAAAAAGACCAAATATTTTGAAGAAAAACAATATTTTTTACTTTCAGCTATAAAAAAAATATATAGTAAACTCAAAGTTAGTTATAAAATTTAGGCCAAAATTATTCTGCTACATGTTTTTGGTAAAAAAAAAAAATCCCAATAAGTGTATATTGATTGCTTTTTGTGAAAGTTATAGTGTCTACAAACTATGGTATAGATACTGCAATTTACATAGCTTTTACTTTCTGACTGCCCATCACATTTCTTGAGGTGCTAAAATACCAGGATAGTACAAACACCCTCAAATGACCCCTTTTCGGAAATTAGACACCCTAAGCTATCTGCTGAGAGGCATATGGAGTCCATGGAAGATTTATTTTTTTTTCCCCACACGTTCCTGGAAAATGACTTTTTTTTTTTTTTTTTTTTTTTTTTTTTTTTTACACAAAGTTGTCATTTAAATGATTTATTGCTTGCACAAGCCATGGGTATATGTGGAATTACACCCCAAAATACATTCTGCTACTTCTACCAAGTATGGGGATACCACATCTGAGACTTTTTGGGAGCCTAGCCACATACAGGAGCCTGAAATCCAATGACCACTTTGAAAGCCTGAAGGTGCGTAACTTCCTCATTACACTTCCTCACTACCCATCACAGTTTTGAAGGCCCTGACATGCCAGGATAGCCCCAAACCCCCCCAAATGACCCCTTTCTGGAAAGTAGACACCCCAAGGAATTTAAAAAGACGCATGGTGAGTATTTTGCAGATCTAATTTTTTCTCACAAGGTTTTGAAATAAAAAAAAAAAAAAAAAAAAAAAATATATATAGAAAAAGTTTGGTTTTTTTTTTCTTAATTTTCCAAAAACTTGTGGCAACAAATGAGATCTGCAAAATACTTACCGTGCTTTTTATCAAATTCTTTGGGGTGTCTACTTTCCAAAAAGGGGCAATTTGGGGGGGTTAGGTGCTATCCTGGCATTTCGGGGCCTCCGAAACTGTGATAGGTAGTCTGGCAGTGTAATGAGGAAATAAAGCCCTTTAAAAGCCTGAAGGTGCTTATTGGATTTTGGGGTCCTGTACTTGGCTAGACTGCCAAAAAGTCTCTCACATGTGGTACCCCCATACTCGGGAGAAGTAGCAAAATGTATTTTGGGGAGTAATTCCACATAACCATGGCATGTGTAAGCAGTAAATCATTTAAGTGACAATTCTGTGTAAAAAAAAAAAAAAAAAAAAAAAAAAAAAAAAAAAAAAATATATATATATATATATTTTTTTTTTTTTTTTTTGTCATTTTCCAAAAACTTGTGGTAAAAAAATAAAATTCTTCTATTGATTTAACATTCCTCTCAGCAAATAGTTTGGGGTGACTTTCCAAAAAAAGGGTCATTTTGGGGGGTGCGGGAGTTTTATGCCCAGCATTAGAAGTTTATGCCACACATCATTCACTCTAACCACCAGAAGACCAAGCCTTTTTGTTACATGAAAAAACAGTATTTTTTGCTAGAAAATTAATTTAAACCCCAAAAACAATTTTTTTTAAAGCAGACATCCTAGTGAATAAAATGGTGGGCACTACAATTTTTTATGGCACATAGTACTCGAAGCGATTTTTCAAAAGCAATTTAAAAAAAAAAAAAAAAAAAAAAAAAAAAAAAAAAAAAAAAAAAAAAAAAAAAAAAAAAACTATTTTACTTTTAATGCACAAAAACACAATATATTGGCCAATTGTTTGGTAAAATATAAAAGATAACGGTATGCCGAGTAAATGGATACCAAACATGACATGCTTTAAAACTGCGCATGCCCCATGCAATGGCGACAAACTGCAAACATTTTTAATATCCATAGACAGAGCTTTAAAAGCCACTATTTTAGATTTACAGAGGAGGTCTAGTGTTAGAATTACTGCCCTTGATCTGACGTTCACGGCAATACCTCACATGCATGGTGCAACCACTGTTTACATAATGGCACAGGGTCAAGGCTTGTGCACACAGGTGTGTGTGCATGGGAGAGGCAATATTTTTTTTTTTTTTTTTAATCACTTTTAATGCTATAACAGGGAATGCAAATAACCCCTATAACTTCAATGGGCATTGTTATATATTTCTTTTTTGATTAATCTGGAGTCTATCAGACTCTAGATATCTCCTCTGCCCTTACATTATCTAATCAAACCAAACTTGGTGTGATCAGATGCTTTCCTAATTTACAAATGGCGCGGTTTATATCCTGTGAAACTGAAGTGATGAAATGCTTGTAGCTTCCGAATTCCGGTCCTTGTTGGTTATATATGCCATGTTCTTTTTTTTGTATGCAGCCAGTGGACTGAATGAAAAAATGAGAAGAAATCTCTGCCAGAAAAAGTGTGTGGTATGCCCACCATTAGAATATACTGCCCTGCATCCACCCACTTATAATGGTGGGCACACATTAGGTCACACTTTGCCACAAGTGCCAGTTCCAAGATTGAACAAATGTCTAAATAGTGGCACGCTTGAATAAAAAAAATTGTCCACGTATAAGTGGTACCCCATATGGAGAAATGATGACACCAAGTCCCAAACTATCTTGCCACTGCTCCCCATGTAGTCTGGGCATCCGGGCGGGCTCCACGTGACTTTTCCCTCGTAAATCCGAAACTTATAAGTATAGCCTGTTGTCCTCTCACAGGTCTTCTACATCTTGACCCCATATCTGGCACGCTTGTTTGAATGCAAGGCGGCCAGAAAAAATGAATGAGGGATTCCTCAACGCAGATGTTTTGCTGGGGAGTATAGACCTCTGCAAATTTTAGGTTAAGGCGATTTGTGAGGGGCTGAATTTTGTGGAGCCGGTCAAAATTCAGGGTCACCTTGAGAATGACAGAGTGTATTGTCGCTAAAATGCATAAAACACATTATACTCTCATATCTGTGCCTGGCCATGGCAGCAGAGAACACGGCATATGATGAATCGGGTCTGCGGGCCAATACAACCGCAATTAATTTCTTGTAGTAATGCCCATGTTGAGGGTTAGGCCCAAAAAAAAAAAAAAAAAATGAAAATTTGAAAACCGTAATGAGTTTCCATGCGAATGGTCTGGCAAGGTTTGAATTTGCGCTGGCGGCAATAAATTGTTGTGCATATAAACTGCTTTGATCCACAATCAACACATACAGATATTCCGTGAAAAACAGCTCCAAAAATCAAGGAGGTATGTGAAAGACCAAGATGTACTAGACCGCTGGTACTTGCCAGTTCACCAAAAAGGTAGAGCGGCACTAGTACTGACACTCTGCTGCATATGAGAGTCATCAAAATTTACCGGCAAGTGCTAACAGAGATCAGGCCTGATTCTGCGAACACTGCGGTTTTGTGTGCAATGTATCAAGTGACAGTGACCTACTGACACTGCACTTGCTGGGGGAGAAGGGGGGGTAAGCGTAGGGGCTAAACGCAGGTGTTGGCAGGTGCCGGGGCCGATCCCGCTAATGCTGCGATTTTGGGGACGCTATACTAATGTGAACGCTGGTATAGTGCTGACCTGATCAAAGATATTGACCCGTTCAACTTTTACAAAACAAAAAACTACAAAAAAACTTTTACGTGCATAAAGGAGGGTGCAAATATTCACACTGTATAGGCTGTACTTGAATTTTTTGTCAGGAACTTTCTTCCAGGAAGATCCGGCATTCATCAGTAACATGTGCAAGGACCCTAAAAGTCTGTTTCTGACAAGCATACAAAATTTATAAATAATTCTTACCTTGCTACTCCAAACATAAATAGGGAAGTTGATAAACTGAGAATATTTCCGGACCAGGTTCTTAATTGTTTCCAATTCAAGATAATCAGTTGCCTCTTCTTTCAAAACCAAGCTTTAAAAAGCAAAAAAAAAAAAAAAAAAAAAAAGTCATCTAATATGATCTTTCATACCATACGAAGATTTCCAAATCTACAATTGCAGTAGGAAAAAAAAACAAAAGAAACCACATACACACAAACACACACGGTAATCCTCTTCCTTCAGTACTTTCAAATCACTAACCTGAAACAAGTATGCAGCTAATAAATACAATTTCTATAGAATTACAAAAAATTTACACCAATTTGGTTAATCACTTGCCAACCACAAATAGCCAAATGACAGCTTCACTGCGGCCGTCCAGTTCTAGGAGGGTGTAATGATGTCCTCCCAGAACGCGCCTTCCCAGTGATCCCTCCCGCACGCCCCTGGTGCCGCCTCATCAACGCACATCAGTGAAGTAGAAAAAAAATTACCCGTTTGCTAAATTTTATAATAAAAACCAAAAAGCTTCTCTTGAAAAGTATAGCTCATTTTTTGTTTATAGCGCAAAAAATAAAACCCAGCGGTGAGTGAATGCTACCAAAAGAAAGCTCTATTCATGTGAACAAAATTTTACATGGGTGCAGTGTTGCATGACCGCGCAGTTGTCAAAGTGCGACAGAGCTGAAAGCTGAAAATTGGCCTGGGCAGGAAGGGGGTATAAGTGCCCTGTAGGCAAGTGGTTAAATAAGTAGTTATTTAAATTCCTTATTAACAACCCTAATGGGCTGCAATTGAGGTTACTGCAAACTAGTGGTTAGATATCTCAGTAACCCTAGCTCAACAATAAACTCCTTAAAAGGGGAACACAGGGATGGTCATATCAATTAAGAGCTGAGCTTACATTAATCACAGGCTGGGTAGGACAAGTGACTAAGAAATTAAAACTTTAACCACTAGCCTACTGGGCACTTCTACCCCCTTCCTGCCCAGGCCAATTTCCAGCTTTCAGCGCTGTCACACTTTGAATAATTAGTATTTAATCACCTCTGGGTTTATTTTTTTTCTTAAACCAAAAACCACTGAAAATTTTGGAAAAGTTTTCGTTTTGTTAAAAAAAATTGTAAATAAGTGATTTTTCTCCTTCACTGATGTGCGCTAATGAGGCTGTAGTGATGGGCACTGATAGGCTGCACTAATAGACACTTATAGGGAGACACTGATGGGCATTGACAGGCATCACTGATGGGCACTGATAGGCAGCATTGATGTGCACTGGAAGGCACTGAAATGTGACACTGTGTCAAGGTCCTACCTTTCCTCAGGGCTTGTGCTGCTCCATATGCTGGCATCCATCTTAGGTGTCTGCAAAGCATTGTGGGATCCTTTATGCTTTCAACCCTCTGCGGCTCCTCCTCCAGGAGGTGGCAGCTTATCACATTTAAGTCTGCTGTTTGTAGCTGTCCATTGCATTCGTGTCCTGTCTGTTGCACAGCTGCAAGTTCCTGTTTAGTTTCTCATTGCTTTCCTGGATACCGACTCGGCTTTGGCAAGACTCCTTTCTGGCTTTTGACCCCGGCTCTGGCGACCATCCTTCCTGGCTTCTGACCCTGGCTCTGGCGACCATCTTTCCTGGCTACTGTTCTACCAAGTCATCTGTTGTTGCTGTTGGCCTTGCATAGACTGTCTTGTTTTTGTATAATAAACCTACCTTTAATTGCACCTCCTTGTGTGTCTGGCTCCTCGCTCCCTAACACACTGATGGGCACTGGCAGGTGGCATGGAGGAGCAATGACAGCTGGCACTGATTGACACTGACAGGTGGCACTGCTGGGGCTACACAGATCAGGGCACACTGATCATCAGTACCCCGATGATCAGTGCACACGTCTCCTCCGAGGAATGCCAAATTACCAGCTCTCCTCTCGAGCTGTCAGCGTGACAGCTCGTGAGGAGAGAAATGCCGATAACCGGCATTTCCCTGTTTACATGTGATCAGCTGTGATTTGACACAAATAAAATATCAAATGTGTCGCGCTCCACTACTCAAAAAACTGTATTATTAATACTCTCCTCTTCAAACGTGCAAAATATGAACCTTTCTACTAGTTAATATATAAAAAATAGAAATAAATAAATCTAAATAAATATTAATCCATAATGGTATAATTTAAGATTAAAATTAGAACACCCCTTGTGTTGAAATTAATTGTGGTACAATTCTACTAAATTAATAAAATTGATAATATAAAAAACTAAAAAATTATTCAAATTCCATGTGCATGATGTTGAAATAAATCAAATATATAGAAAACCTCCATACTTCGTAATATATATGTGCAAAACGTATATGTGCCAAATTGCAAAATACAAAAGACAATTCTAAAAAATGAGGAAATACATAAAAAATAAATAAAAACAAATTAATATAAAAAATATTTCTTAAAATAACAGATAATAAATAGCAATAAAAAAGAAAGAAACCTCTTACTATACAGATGATATGATATGCTCACCTCACTTATACAACCTAAGATGGTGATTAAAACTATATACCAATTGTCCTTCGCTAAGATGAAGTATAAACGTCCCAATTTGTATATATAGAGATATATGGAAAATATATTGCTGTTGAAGTAAACTGTAGTATTACTTTCCTTCCACTAGATGGCCTTCCAATTTCTTCTGGGTTGTGAGGGCTGGATAGATAGGAGATAGAACCCCACAGGACGAGGGGAGATATCCATATCTATCTATCCAGCCCTCACAACCCAGAAGAAATTGGAAGGCCATCTAGTGGAAGGAAAGTAATACTACAGTTTACTTCAACAGCAATATATTTTCCATATATCTCTATATACAAATTGGGACGTTTATATTTCATCTTAGCGAAGGACAATTGGTATATAGTTTGGTGTATAGTAAGAGGTTTCTCTCTTTTTTATTGCTATTTATTATCTGTTATTTTAAGAAATATTTTTTAGATTAATTTGTTTATTATTTATTTTTTATGTATTTCCTCATTTTTTAGAATTGTCTTTTGTATTTTGCAATTTGGCACATATACATTATTAAGCACTTTAGAAGTTGGCACATATACGTTTTGCACATATATATTACTAAGTATGGAGGTTTTCTATATATTTGATTTGATTTATTTCAACATCATGCACATGGAATTTGAATAAATTTTTTAGTTTTTATATTATCAATTTTATTAATTTAGTAGAATTGTACCACAATTAATTTCAACACAAGGGGTGTTCTAATTTTAATTTTAATCTTAAATTATACCATTATGGATTAATATTTATTTAGATTTATTTATTTAGATTTTTTATATATTAATAACTAGTAGAAAGGTTCATATTTTGCACGTTTGAAGAGGAGAGTATTGATAATACAGTTTGAGTAGTGGAGCGCGACACATTTGATATTTTATTTGGTTTATTTGTACGCAGTATTATGAGTATGTGTTTTTTGTGTTGATGCACCATCATATATTTTTTAAACAGCTAAGTATTTATAAGTATTATTTTATACCACTATAGTAGCTCACAAGTACACATTATAATAAAATTCTTACTATGTGATTTGACACAGCTGATCACATGACTGAGCCGACATCTTCGGCTCTTTCCGTTGATCGGTGATCTGTTGTGTCCGAGGAACACAGCGCACCGCCAATCGCCACGCACTCCCAGAGCCGTGCATGCGCGGTTAGAATGGGAGGACTTCATGTGACGTCCTCCCAGAACGAGAGAACCACCTTGCACCCGTCATTGTACTATATGGCAAGTGGGAGTCAGTTTACATATGGTCACCCATCACATCCACAATTTCAGAGGGAGAAACAAACTGATCTGTTGATCAACAGTGCTTGCAACCATCATGATTTTAATCATGCTATTTAGTCAAGCTTTAATATTAAGCGATAAGTCTTCGTGGGGCTGACTTTCTGGAATCAGAAAATGTCACCCTTGAATTCCACAGGACCTCCTGCAAACTGACAGGCAGAAACAGGAGAAGATCAGAAAACTATACTGAACCCCAACAGCAAGGATGCAGAAGGTAAAAGTTTAAGAAGCCAACCTAACTCACTTTCCCTCTTTAAATCCATACTTGCCTCTATCAGAGGACTGTAGTCTGTTTTTTTTTTTTTGCATCCAGCAGGTTCTCAGTGTTCTGCCAATGCCTGTGCCTTAAAGCCTCAGACTTCTATAGGGAGAAGTGTCTCAAATGACTCCAGCCTCAGACACCCCATAGCAGTTTATAGGGCTGTAACAGACACTAAAGACATGCAACACTGTATGTAAACAAACATACCTGTGGTTCAAAGTAGGTATGCATCTTGGGTGGGAGGGCTAGTATAGTTCAGGACCCGTTTACAATGCAGGTGTTGCCTTAGTGTTGAAAATGATAAGTACCAAAATGCATCAACGCTTGTAACGTGCACTACATTAGCACATGCTGTTGCAAAGCATAAATGTCAGCACTCACTAACTAAAAAAGGGCAAGCACATCTTAAAGTGCAGTTATTAAAAACCAGCCTGCATTACAGCATCCAAGGTCCACTTACGTTATTGTTGTTCCTCTTCCCAATGTGTCACCCCGAGGATCATCAGTCACAAAGAATTCATTAGAATCAGATTCCCAGATGTGCTGTGTATCATTATTGTGTTTTGAGGTCACAATTACACGGTCAGCAACAAGGAAGGCAGAATAGAAACCAACACCAAACTGTCCAATCAGCTCAGAGGTAGACTGGCCAGAGTCCTGGGCATCTGTGAGCTTGTTCAAAAATTCACTTGTTCCAGATTTAGCAATGGTTCCCAAATTCTTCACAAGCTCCTCCTTTGTCATACCAATGCCAGTGTCTGTTATATGCAGCATGTTCTTCTCTTTATCACACTGAAAGACAGTTTTAGCACATACATTAAAAATAAGCCACAGCTGATTGAGGGATTAAAAGAGTGGCTAAGAACTGGCAAACGTGCTGGCAACTGACATTTTATCAGAGGCATGCACTACATATGCACCAGTAAGTAAAAAGTAAAGACATTGTAGAAAAATTTGTAACCCGAGCTCTTTAGGGGGTGACAGGGAACACCCACACACAAACTTTCTTTACCCTTTAAAAAAAAAAAGCAAGGAATGGTGCATAAATAGAAAAAATAAATAAATAAATAAACTGTCCTTAAAATGGAACTAAACCCTCCTATATTTTGCAGTCAAGGAAAGATCTTAGCTTCTTTTTGATCTACAGTTATTGTGCTGCACATATGAGCAGTTATGACAGCCATTTGATGGCTTGACAGTTCAGCTGAAAGGGCAAGCAACTGAGTTTTTATTCACAGCATATCTGGAATGTAACTTTTCTCTGAAACCGAAAATGATACTACAGTCTTACAACATACAAATACTAAAACACCCAGTGTCATGCTCTGTGCAATGTTTTCCACAGAGCAGTCTCGATCCTCCTCTTGGGTCTCCCGATGGCACTCCCGGCCCCTTCCTTCCTGGTGGGTGCCCCCACAGCAAGCAGCTTGCTACGGGGCTGCCAAACAGGCATGCTTTTAAGCCGTGGCTCTGCATGTCCACACACACACGCACAGCCCCACCCCCTTCCTCTCCCGATTGGCTCACTGGCTACAACTGAAAGCAGCATAGAATGCATGAAGGTAAAAAAACCTTGAGCCTTTAAAACCACTTCAAATCAATGGGTTTAGTTCCACTAAATTACACTAGCTGTTGAAATTAGTTGCCATATACACAACTGCCCATTACAAAGTTTAACCAAAGAAGTGGTGAATTCCACATTGAACAGGGAAAAAAAAAAAAAAAAAAAGTTTAAATATAAACAAACTGATTATCTTTATGAGATCTGTATAGGACACCAGCATACCATGTTTTTAATCACAGCCATACCTTAATCTTAATGGTAAGTTCTTCATTAGCAGCAAGTGCAGTTTCATCAGTCAAAGAAATTAACCGGATCTTGTCAAGGGCATCAGAGGCATTGGAAATCAATTCTCGAAGGAAGATCTGCAGAAAGTGTACAGCGTTTAACAGATTAATCATCAGTGTGACATTAGGAAGATTAGCATCTCAACTTTCAAAAGTAAGTTACCTCTTTATTTTTGTATAGGGAGTTAATAATCAGCTTCATCATTCTATTAACCTCAGCCTGGAATGCAAACTTTTCAGATTTCTCCCGGAGTTCCTTAATTTGTGCAGCATTAAGTCCATCCAGCTGAATTGCTTCCTCTTCCCTATGAGAGCAACAAAGTGGTTAAAAATTTTTTATTCCCTGATAAATGTAAGCTCCAAAGATCAGAGCCCTCCTATCCCTCTTGTATTGAACTGTATTGTCTCCCTTTATATTGTAAAGTGCTGAGCAAACTGTTGGCGCTATATAAATCCTGTATAATAATAATAATAATAATAATAATAAATCTGAACAAGTATTTCGTAAATAAGCTAAAATGGGATGTAATGATTAGACATCTTTCTTCTATATCAAACATTCCCATGGGCTTACGTTTTGTTGATTGCAGGTTTTGTGTACTCACTTAAGAACATAGAACACACTAAATATAAGTCACACTTGTATTCCTCTAACTGCTCTAGCATGATGAAAGATGAAATCCATAGCTGACTGCATCCAGTTCCGGTTTACACTTTAAATAGATAAGTTCATAATAACACTGCATGTAGTGAAGGCTAACCTGCTTACAACTTCATCATCTGTTCTTGAGCCTTCCCGGCTTTTTCCAAGGTCGTCTTCTACCGTTCCATCAATGTCTACTTCATCTTCTGCTCTCACAGAGACTGTAAAGATATTTAAATAGTTTATTTCAATTAAGTAACCCTTACAGAAAAATGCAACGCCTCAATCTCCTCATCTCTTTAACCACTTCCAGACCGGATACTTTTACCCCCTTTCTGACCAGGGCAATTTTCAGCTTTCAGCGCTATCACACTTTAAATGACAATTGCGCGGTCATGCAACACTGTACCCAAATTAATTTTTTACCATTTTTTTTGAGACAGATAAAGCTTTATTTTGGTGGTATTTATTCACCACTGGGATCTTTATTTTTTTTTGCTATGTAAATGAAAATGTCCCAAAATTTTGAAAAAAAAAGTGTTTATAAAATTTTTGCAAATAAATATTTCATCATAAATCTTGGCCAAAATTTATTCCGTTATCTTTTTAGTAAAAAAAAAAAAAAAAAAAATCCAAATTAGTTTGTTTATAACCAAAAATTATAATTTTTAAACATTTTTATTTTATATTTTTTTTTTACATACTGTCACCCTAGCAGTACAGTGTCATCATGGTGACAATGTACTACTTGTGGGGGGTGATTAAGATTTTTTTTTTATTTTTTTTTTTTAATACACTGATTGCTTTTACACATATATAGGATGTAAAAGCAATCATTTCTCCTTCTCTCTGTCTGCATTCTTGCACTCATTGAGAAGTACTGAGTGAGCTGTGATTGGTCACAGCTTGTCACATGGTACAAGGCTGTTGTGAATAGCCTTGTACCATGTGACCTCTGTGATCATTCACAGATTTCACACGTAGTAAGCAATGATGTCACAAGTGACATCATTGCTTACTACTTTGCATGTGATCACTGATTGGCCAATCAGTGATCACATGATCGGGACCTCGTACAGAGGTCCCGTCCGACAATCGGTGTCCGGAGGACACAGCGGGCACCAGATCGCGGTGCTGTGCGCTCCCAGGGAGCGCACACAAGCAGGGTGCGGGGAGGCAGTTTATAAACGGCCACCCGACCCTGCAGTGCCACCGTCCAGCCGTTTATATGCAACGGCCGGTCGGGAAGCGGTTAAAGTGTTACTATACCCAGGACCCTGAATTTACTATATCCAGTTTTCCACAAAACATGGAAATGCAATTATTTTAGTAAATATACTGCTAATTAGAAAAGGTATTTAGCAGTTTATAAGGCAGTCTTGCGACTCCTATCAATGTCCAGCTGAGCACTGATTGTATGAGGAGTTTTCAGTCTCCTTTGACTGTCCTGTGAGGCTGCATGACCCCTGACCCTCTGGACAGTGCCGATCACATTCACCCCCCCCCCCCCCCCAAAGGAATAAAAAAAAAAAAAAAAAAAACCACACTCCTGCAATACACACCAAACTAAGCATCTGCAGAGTGCCTCCCAGGGCTCTTTGCTATCAGCAGATGGATTGGAAACTGTGGTAGAAAGGGAGGATCAGAGAAGACCGGATCAAACAGTCTTTTCACACAATGTGGAGGATTAAAGTGGTAGTAAGTCTTGTTAATTTTACCTACAGGTAAGCTTATCTGTAGGTAAAAATAAATAAATATCTCCTAAACGTGCACCGTTCAGAAGATATTCCAGAGAGCAGCAGCCAAAGACATCACGGATGCATGTGCACTAAAGGAACAGCATACCCGTGTATGCTGTGCCCGAGGCTCCCGCCCTCTTGAGTGGGAGTGACATCATCACACGGTTCAGACAGTCAGAGCCCGCGAACCTGGAAGGAAGACAGGGTGAAGATTGAAGCCCTGTCAGCGGTGACAGTGCACCACTGTAGGGCTTAGTTTTAGGGCAAGTATTTCATAATGTGCCAATATGTGATATATACCACCACATTATGAATCCCCCACCCCGCCGGAGACTTTACTACCGCTTTAACCCCTTCGGTTCCACAGCGAGTATACAGACTGATTTTACGGATGTGGGTTTAGGGACATTTTAAATAATAAACTAGTTAACACTTTACACTGGCATGTGCTACAAAAAAAAAAAAAAAACAAAAAAAAAACAAATCTGCATCATGTTCCTGCAGCAGGCAGACATGCATCTGAATGCCTAGGCATTGCTAATGTGATCTGAACTGAAGTATCTTCGGAGGCTGATGTTGAGGCCTGATCACCCACTTCTGCAGTCAGGATCTCTTGATGAAGAATGGTTTGTTTTCTGCGCAGGATAGCCAAAGAGCAGGGTTGAAGAACTGTTACACCGCAACAGAAGCACAATACCCCAGTGTGAAAACATACATAGGGAAGAGTTTTTGTTGAGCTTTTCAGGAGCTTTTTAAAACAAAAGCACTTCCAAAACTCCTCAGTGTGAAAGTAGCCTTAGGGCCAGTTAGGGTAGCAGGAAGCTGGGGCGAGGGAGGACTTTAAGATCGATTGCTTCCTGTGCCTAGAGTCCACACCAAAAGTTAACATACAGCCCTCCGAAAATGCAGTGCTTAATGTGGCCAATAACCAGAACCAAGCATTCACATGGGTTGGTTGGGCCTACAAAGTGCCACCAGTATTTGCTTTGTGCAAGAGCTGGGGCAATGGGTAGGATGAAGAATGCAAAATCATGGCATGTATTGATTGGGGGGTTACTATCTGGTGACAAACTGGCTAAAAGGGAACCAAATGAAGGGTAATGGAATTGCATTATCCACTTAGAAACTTCCAGCACAATGTCAATGACTGCTGTCTTCACACTGAATCAGTCCTAGATCTAGTCTTTGGATCATTTAGATTTGCTAAAACAGTCCATTTACAGGCTTTTTACGATGCACTACCCAAGGCTACATTATTTCTGCAGTTTGTTCCCATCAGCGTCTCCCAGTGATAAATATCTGACAGCCCATTTAGCCCGGGTTCACACTATGTGGTGCGGGACACTGCATGCAATTCGCACAGCATTCCTGTGCAAATTACATGCAAATGTCTGCTGTGCTATTTAGGTCATACAGTTTGTATGGCTCAAATCGCATCTGCACCAAAAAGGCGCAGGACCCTTTTTAAATCGCATTGCATGGGTGTTCTCACCCATGCAATGCGATTTCTGGCAATGGCATCGCGTTTTGCGATCTGTTTCAGATTGTCATTAATTTATCATTGACACCCACACCAGATTGCATGAACAGGATGCAACTGCAATGCGGTGGGGGAAACGCTGCAAATACTGTGTGTGTCCTGCACTGCAATCACATCCCATTCATGCGATCTGGTGTGGTTGTTAATGATAAATGAATGACGCTCCGAAACAGACCGCGATGACATTGCCAGAAATCGCATCACATTGGTGTGAACCCAGGCTTCAAGTAGAAGAAAAAAAAAAAAAAAAAAGTAAAGCAAGGAACAGAACACCCAACATTTTTCTAGTTTTTAAGCTGGTGGACAAGTTACACATTAGTTACTTATGCGATACATCAACTCATGCTTAATTTATTTTTTTCCCTGATGGTTGGAAATGAGCAGTGTGCAGAGAATATCATGTGAAACAGTTTCTAGAACCCTGGCAGGTTTTTCTGGACATATTCAGACACATAAAGGAGCCCTATTGACTCTAGATGGCAGCTGGAAAATACAAGCTTGATTTGACTGACAATGAAAGATCATTCTACAAACACATATTTGCATCAGGTGAAGGTGCATGTTCTATCCTGTGGAGGAGGGGAGGGGGACACACCAGCCTTTGCCAATGGTAATCAGCCAGGAAAAGTCATTGGTTACAGTGGGTAAACCCGCTCTGGGATCTAAAGAACAAAACTTTCTACTTAAGGATATAGCAGGGAAAAGTTAAAATCCTTAGAGTTTTGCAGCCACTAGAGCAAGTGTCTCCATTGGAAAGATTCCGCTCAATTTTTGTTTCAATGAAAACTCTAGGATTTACTAATAATAATATGGATTTTCCCTGCTTTATCTCAGTGACCTACAATAGCCTCATCAGGAACATGAAAGGAAAACAGACATATTAGGCCCTGTTCACACTGGTGCACTCTTGCTGCACTGAAAAGGGTGCCTTCCCAGAGTGGCAAAACTGCATGAAAAATAAACCCCCTTTAAATCCTAACTGTTCACATCTGCATGCTGTATTTTTGGAAATTCCTGTTTGCTGCATCTTTAGCATCATTTGAAAAACACACCTATCATAGTCAATGGAAACACCAAAAACTTTTTTAATTAAGTTACTTTTTTCCCCCTAGGTGACCAAGGATGAAAATGCATTCATATAATAGATGGGAAGAAAATCTGTGCAGAATATAGTAACCCTTGGCAACCAGATGGACTCCAGCCAATGACACTTGCTATGGGTGACTGAAGTTTGCCATGGCAGCCATGACACCCATTGTGTTCACCAGTCATATACAAGGAAGCTGAGGACCCCCATAAACCATCATATTATTCCAATAGATGATACTGTGAAAGACATGAAAGTTCCAGAGTACCAACAGACCTCTCCACCTACTGAAGGAAGTCGGCCAGGAAGCTTCTAGAAGACTGGGAAGGAAAAAGATGGGATATACTAGGGGGTCCTCAGCTGCTCTCCTCCCCCTAACCCCGGGCACTCACCAAAGGCTAGCAGGACGAAGCACAGGCCAATAGCCCACAACTTCCTCATGGTGACCCCCAAACCGTACAGTTCCGCTGCCCACGTTCCTCGTTCTCCACAGAAAACTGCAACCGTGCGCCGCCTCCTAAGCTTTAATATCTGCCTCTGACAAGCACCGGGCGGACACCGAGCGCCCGCCAATGGTAGCCAACCACGCACACCAAGCCACCAATCGGTGTCCTCCTCGCAAGTTGCGTTTCTGTCAGCCTTGGCCAATAGCTGCCTTCCATGTACGGCGTACAAGGCTAGGAGCGTGTCCCGCGCTGATTGGTTGCGGCTCGCCGGCTCTGCTACTTTTAGTGGTTGCTGTAACAGTTTACTGAACTTACAAGAGGGGGAAAACTGGGGGGCAGTGCTCTCTGAAAGTGCCTGACATTGCACACAAAGAAAGCGGGCGGGGGTCAATAACTTCTACTTCCGGGGTGCTTCCTGACATGTTTACCCTGGTTACCCCGGCTGGTGTTGTTGCTATGGGAGTTTGGAGAGGATGTAATCATGTTTCTGGTATCTGTTAGACTGTAAGCTCCAAGGATCAGGGTCCTCTTAACCCTCTTGTATTGAACTGTATTGTTGCTGTATTATCTCCCGTTATATTGTAAAGTGCTGAGCAAATTGTTGGTGCTATATAAATCCTGTATAGTAATAATAATACCAAATCTTCTATTTCTCCTATCAGTTCATCCCCACAGTTATTCCTTTTGTACCGCCAGCCCCTCCCTATTAGATTGTAAGCTCCAAGGATCAGGGCCCGCCTAACCCTCTTGTATTGAACTGTATCATTGCTGTATTGTCTCCCTTTATATTGTAAAGCGCTGAGCAAACTGTTGGTGCTATATAAATCCTGTATAGAAATAATAATCTTGCTGCTGTCAGGAAATCAGCAGTCATAATCTCTGTGTGTTTATTTGAATTTGACCTTGACACTGCGGTGGTTATTTACTAAAACTGGAGAGTGCAAAATCCGGGGCATGGTAGTTAGGATTGCCACCTTATCCCTTTAAAATCAAACACATATCAATTACACAGCTTCTGAGGTTGATTTAATGCAGATAAGGCACTAAGTGAGTTTAATTACCACCTTAATCAGCCACATAACCTGTGTCATTAATGTATTCAGTTTTAAAGGGATGGGGTGGCAACCTTTATGGTAGGCAATCAGATTCCAGGTTTGATTTCCAAAGCTTCTGTGAACAAGCTGAAGTAAGAAGCTGATTGGTTACCATGCACAGCTACACAAGATTTTGAGTGCTCCAGTTTTGGTAAATCTACCCCAGTGGGTCACTTATAAGTCCCCATGCACACTGGATGTTTTTACAGCAGCTGTTTTTGGAATTTGGCATTTTTTTCTAAAGCCAGTAAACCCCCCAGCATGTTATCCTATGTGTCCATGCACACATAGACTGTAATTGTTTTTGGCTGGAAAAAAAACTGAGGACTAGTGGGTTTCTACAGGAGTTTTTTAGATGTAAAAACGCTCTTAAAGCTGAAAAACGCTGCAAACCAGCAATATCTGGAAGTTTTTTTTACAAAAAAAAAAACAAATTTTTTGGTTAAAAAAAACCCCCCCCGCAAACATAAGAAAATGCAGCTAATCGTGGCAAAATGCTAATGCAAAAACACTCAAGCTGAAAAACTCACATTTTTTAATGTGACTTTACACAGCTTACATTACCAGTGTTATCAAAACATCCAGTGTGCATGGAGTCTAAAGAGTGAGAAAAGGGGAACCTGTGTTCATTATAAACATCCACTCATGTGGAAGGGAATGGAAGAAATATGGATATTTCTCATCAAATACTATCATTTGCTTTTCTTGACAAATCTCCACAGCAGCATATATGTGGGGATTGCATAGCTCTCCACCACCCCATAGGACTGACTCTCATAGTTCCAAACTATCTCTGATTTCGAGGGACTATCCCTTGGAACAAAGTCCTTCAGTCCCTCTTTCCTCCCCATTTGTCCATTACTTTGATCTATATAGCTGTATATAAAATGCACTTTTCATATTTCAAAAACTGTTTCCCAGTGCTAAACCTTTCATCCAGTTTCTAAATTGCTGTATTTGTAAATTTCAAAAGCCATTATAAAGGAATAGTAGTGGCAAAAAAAAAAAAAATACTTTGGGGTTTAAAGTGTTACTAAACCCACAACAGTAAAATCAGTCTGTATGTGCAGTAAAACATGCTTGTTATACTCACTGTGGAACCTAAGGGGTTAAGCCTCTGCATTGTGTAAAAAGCTGATTGATCCTTTCTTCTCTACTCTTCCTCTTTTTGAAATGACCACTTGATACAGACTGAACCCATCGTCACATGAACATGCTCAGTTTGGTGTGTATTGCTAGAGAGGTTTTGAGGGTTTTTTTTCTTGAGAGGGTGTATGTGATCAGCACAAGGCCAATCAGCACTGTCCATAGACAGGGTCAGAGGTTTCACATCCTCCTAGATCAGAAAGAAAACTCTTCCTACAAACTTTAACCAGTGCTCTGCTGAAGTCACAAGACTGCTCTAACTGCTGATGAGAAAAGGTATTTAGTAGTTTATATTTACTAAAAGAATTGCATTTCCATGTTCTGCGTGTACTATGGGAGACCAGATATAGTGGATGCAGGATCCTGGGTTTAGTATCACTTTAACTAAACATTTATTTTTGTAGAATTCTCCTCTAAGGGTGTGTGGCGGGGGGGGGGGGGGGGTGTCCTCTGCCTTTATTTTTTTCTAATAGGTATCCCTTGTTCTTATTGTAAAAAGTTGAGAGAAATGGACTCTCAATAAATCTGACATGCTCCCTTGTACCGTAACTGGATATCTTGGAATGGATGGGCCAACCAACACTGCAATGCAAATCAGGAATGGAAAATTGTGGCAAGTATTTTATAACAATTTTCCATAGTTTGGGAAAATCCATGGCAGCATATGTACTGTAAATAACTAGACTGGAGGGAGGGTGGCAAACTATTTTACTTTTGGACAAGAAAAGTCCAGGAGCTTCTAGCCAAAATTCATTGTACTCAGTGCCACTGGTTCTATGTAGCAGTGATTCAGGTATGTTTATGGGGGAAAAAAAAACAGGTGGCCACCCTGAAAATAGTTTTTTTTTGGAGATATGGAAATGCTTCAGGTTGGCATTGTTAGGCATATTACCTTATAGACTTTAAAGCAGAACTAAACCCATCCATTTAACAGTTTAAAAAAACAGTCCTGTCGGGAATGCTGTCACATTTGCATGTGTTCGCAACCAAACTGTCAAACCATCAAATGTCTGGTGTCATAACTGATCACACGTGCAGCATCATGGCAGTTAGTGATCAAAAAGAGGCCAAGATGGCAGCTTGCTTGGCTGACTACGATAGGAAGGTTTAGTTACGCTTTAAGAACAGAGTTAAAGTAGAATTGAACTTCCTAAAAAAAAAATTGCTGATAAGTAGAATTTTTATGCCAGAGGAGATCCTATTGGTTTCTGCTGTCATAAATGCTTTGCTGTGCCTCTCAGAGTTAGTTTACCCTGAGTCACAGCTCAGTGTACATTTATAGCACCTCTCTATGCTATGAAGATGTGACTTGCATGTGCATGCGTGGGAGTTACATAATCACAGCCTGGCAAATCAATTGGCCTAACAGTCAGAACCTGGAAGATCAGGAAAAGATGGGAGGGCCTGTGAACGGGGGTGCATTGACAGCGCATTACTGGAGGGGGTTATTTGACAGGTAGGTCTACCATAATGTGCTAATATGTGCTAATTAGACCATTAAAAACAAAAGTTGCAGAGTTTCATTCCACTTTAAAGCCAGCCTAAACCCACCAATTTAACGGTTTCCCAAAACAGTTACATTCAAGGCATGCCTTGAATGATAAAGGTTACAGTTATTAATGTGCTTATGTTAGCTCTCAACAGAACCGTCAAGCCAGTAACTGATCATACTGTATGTGCAGCACCATGGCAAAAGCAGATCAAGCAGAGGCTAAGATGGCATTGTTCTGTTTTAACGTGTATGTTACCATCATGCATTCTATGAAGGTAAAAAAACTTCTGTGTGCAGCACCCCCCCCCCCTTCCCAGCTCTTCCAATACTTAACTGAGGCTGATCATGGTCCAGTGTTGTACATGAGCAGCGGATCTCTCAATTCTCTCCCTAATAGATCTCTCCACTAGGGCTGCATTCACATTTGAGCATTTTGTAGCTTGAAGCTCAAAGCTCCAAATATGCTCAAACTTAAAAAATCAATTGTTCTCTATGGTGCCTGTTTGCGAGATCAGGTGTGAACATGCACCATAGAGAATAGATTTTTTAAGTTTGAGCTTTTTTGGAGATTCAAGCTACAAAACACTCAAGTGTGAATATAGCCAAAGAGGACCTGTCACGGCTATGTTGTTCATCCCTTGTGAATGCAATAAAGCTGATAAAAAAAGGGGACAATGTAAAAAAAATTTAAAGCGCCCTATCCCGCTGTGCTCACATACAAATGCAAATGATCCCATTGGTATCATATGCATATGTAAATGGTGATCACACACCAGACATGTGAGGCTGTCAACGTCAGAGTGAAAGCCATAAGTCTAGTGCTAGACCTCCTGTGTAACTCTAAAGTGGTAACCTGTAAAAACATTTAAATCATCACCTTTGGAGACTTTTTAGTACCATAGCTTGGGGCTTTTCTACAGGCGTACGTAATTTTTAAAGCATGACGTGTTTGGTATCTATTTACTCAGTGTAACATCATCTTTTATACTTTAGTAAACAATTGGGTATTAAATTGTGTTTGCATTAAAAGTAAAGTGTATTTTTACTGAAATATTTGCATTTAAAAAAACCGTTGTGCAAATATGTGACATAAAAATATGCAACATGCACCATTTTTATTTTCTAGGGATTCTGCTTTAAAAATATATATATATATATATTATATATATATATATATATATATATATATATAATGTTTGGGGGTTCTAAGTAGTTTTCTAGCAAAAAATGCAGTTTATTTACATGTAGGAGAGGAATGTCAGA